CTACTTTATGCAGAGAGGAACATCACAGCTCTTACTACTTCATGGGACACGAGCCACCTGCATTTGTGAGTCTTAGGAAAAGCCATGGTGGTGGCAGACCAGCTCCATGGATCGACACGGGAGGCAATCATCGCCGGGTCTCTTATCCACAAACAGTCAACAATTCTTCTCCAGGGATGGTCTCTTCCCACATGGGTCCCAATTTTTACCAGACTCCACAAAGGGTAAAAGCACGTTTCATTTCGTGATATGAATCCGAGTTTTCCAGGCAACAAACATTCATTATGTTCTGATTGCAAAATATTTTATTAAACAGGAAATTCTGGTCAACACCGCGAGTCCTTATGGTAGCCCACGAGCTGGAGTCATCAACAGGGCCACCACCCCAGCTGCCCAGCCTTTCTATGGAAGCCCTCGAGCAGTCGCCGTGAGAAACGGTTCATGCAACAGCCCCCGCGTGGCCACTGTAGTATCAGCAACCAATGGTGCAAGAAACCAACAGAGAGTTTACGGAACAAGCCCGCTTTCGGGAACCAAAGGTGTCAAGAACGACGCATCGTACGTACAGAAGAGCCACACAAAGTTGTATAGAGGAGGAGGCAGTAAAGTTCACAATAAAGGAAACAAAACTCAACGCCAACACCATTGACACAACACATGGCTTTGAGTTGTCAAGTTAATTCCGAGGCACATTATTTTTAAAAACGCCTCACACTCACAGTCTCACTCTCAACATGACTCGTTTTGTGTGTGTGTTTTGGGTTTGTACAGCTACTTACACGGTATTGGTTTCACTCTGATTTGATTGATGTGTGTATATATATATATATGGAAACAAGTAAAAAAATTAAAAATTAACTTTCCAATTTGGTCAAGAAAATCTTTATTTTTTTGGACAACGGTCAAGAAAATCTATCATTCTCATTTAATAGAAAACTAGGATAAGACCCGCGCCTTGCGCGGAATGAAGTTATTATTTTTATTATATTTTGAAAAATGAAACAATAGTTCAGTTTCATTCGGATTAGAGGTGTTCAATGATATCGGGTTTCGGTTCGGCTCGATTATTTGGTATTTCAATCATTAAAATATAACTAATATTCTAAATCTATATGTACTTCAGTTTGATTTGGTTTATATACAATCAGTTTTCAGTTTATTCAATTTTATACCAAAAAACATAATTATTTAGTTTGAGATCATATTATATATTATACAAATATATAATATGATCATATTTAGAGTCATATTGTCACAGAGTCATTTATTAAAAAATATTATATATTTAAATAAAAGAATAAAAAACAAAAGACTTCTATCATCTAATAAAATGATCAAACCTATAATTAATATCAAAACACTAAATTTTGAAAATAAAAATAAAAAACAAAACAGAAGTATGAAAGAAAAGTTTTTATATTCTTCCATATTTAGTGTTCATCAAACCAATATGTCTTCGATTGAACATNAAATAAAAATAAAAAACAAAACAGAAGTATGAAAGAAAAGTTTTTATATTCTTCCATATTTAGTGTTCATCAAACCAATATGTCTTCGATTGAACATAACTCTGTTTGTTTAAAGATTAAAAAAAGTTGTAAAGAATTTCAACTAATTGTTGTCCATCAAATTTATAATCTTTACTTCAATTTAGTTACTGTTAAAAAAGGAAAAGATCAAAATAAGAAGTCTCAGTTGTAATAAATTGTTAGCTATTTAAAAATTATAATTATAGTTCAACTCATGTAACAAATAGATATTCATGCGTCGTTATAAATATATACATATTTACATGTTTCAATTTAATCGGTTATAAATCAAACCATATCCAAATCCTATGGTTTTTATAAAATCACATCCACTCGGTTTGTATGGTATATACCAAAAATAACCATATTATCGATTGTTAATATCTTTTAAAAATATAAAATTAAAAAAGAACTAAAATATTTAAATCATTCATAACGAAAATTCTCAATGTGAAAAATTTAATAAGTTTATAATTTATAAATGTTCTTGAAAATTTATTGAAAATTTTGAAATTAAAATTTTTATGTAATCTTATATGGTATATAGTTTAATTAAAATATATTTTAAAATTAAAATTTATTTTAACCATAAAAAGTAATAAAAATAATAGCTTTTCCCCACAGAACCAATGGAAGTCTTTTATCCCTTACATATGGAAAATGTTAAACAAAAATTTTAAGAGGGAAGCTTTTTGCATTTAAATAATTAAAGGGATCAACAAAACAATATCAAATAACGTACTTGGAATTTCGCAATTGTATTGAGATTTTCTCAGTCTCCAGACCATTGACATGTTGAATGTTACTAACCTGAACAATATGGCCGATAATATCTGCACATGTAGGAATGGGTTTGTTAATATGGATATATGTGATGCTGCAATTCAACGAAGTATTATGAAACATACTAACCAACTAAATAATCGGGATTCAGAGTTCCGTCGAGTATTTCGTTGTATTTGACTGGTTGGAATCCGCAAAGATCTGCAGGCAGTTGCTCACTGGGTAGAACACGGGTTGTGTTGAGGAAACTTATCCGGTATGGATGATTTGTGGTTCTATACGAACCAACATAATTTAACAAAGAGAAATTGATGATGATGTTCGAGTAGCCTTCTTTCAAGAAAGGATTGAATTTGTTTATCAATTCGTTTTTGACAGAGGCATGAATTTTATTACCCTGATTATTAAAAACGGTAAAGCTATTAGTGAACAAAATAATTGATATAATATTACATAAAACATATTAACTTCTGAACAAACTACCTTAATATCGCATAGAACCATCTCTATGGTTTTACCACAAGCGCCTGCATTATGTTTCCACAATAGAATAACTTTAACCTTGATCTTCCAGTTCTTTTTGAAAGGTTTCAAGTCGAGAACAGAACTGATGGTCGTCATTTTTTAAAGAATTTTTTTTCTTGTGCCTTATTACGTCGAATGAAATAGTAGGTGATAGTATTAATAGGTAAGGGGTCTTCCATAATTACTATTAATATTTACGATTTGCATATATCAATTTTAACATAAATTCCCAAGTTAACATATTAAGTTTTACATTTTACATATACACTTGCCTTTACCATTAAGTATGTACTTGGTCACAAAGTAAT